TAAATACTAAACTGTTACTACTGCTTCAATATACAGTTTCGAGAAAAAAAGAAAATTGTATGATCAATTTTACGATGCTAAAGTCAACGATTACAAAAAACAACCCCCACAGCACCGAAACTAACCTAAAGATTTTCTAAAGATTTATTTGAAATGTTCGGAATATTTAATTGCAATATTTAGTGAAAATTGTGTAAAGATTTAAATGTTCACTGAGAAAACGATATGTTTGATTCAAACATAATATGTTTAACCCAAACTTAAAATAGCTTTGTTATACAGTCAAACATATTTATGTTTAAATTTAATATATTCTCTGGTTGATTCAATGTGAAAATATATTTAATTTAAACATAAATTATGGTTGATTTCAATTTATTCATAATAAATTTTTATGTTTAAATCAAACATAAAAATTTTAAACATTATATTTTCAGTTTAAGCCAAACAGAAAATATGTTTGAATCAAACATAATTATTCAAACAAATAATAATTTTAAGCCAAAGTAGAAAATATTTTCTATATATTAAAATTAAACATAAAAACTGTGTTGGGTTAAACAAAAACTTTTAAACTGATCTTTATATTTGAAACAAATAATTCTTTTTCTCAGTGTTTAGCGCGAAACTTTTTCTGAACATTTAAATGAACTTTTCAGGAAAGTTTCACAAAGTTTCGCGCTAAACATTTATATTCAAGTGGGACATTTAAATCTTTACACAATTTTCACTAAACATTGCAATTAAATATTTCGAACATTTCCAATGAATCTTTAGGAAAGTTTCGTTGCTGTGGGGGAAAATTTTTTTATTGTTACATAACTAACCTAAAAATAAATTTAATTAATAATTATTTACTTTTTAGAAAAAAAAAACTAATTTATTTCGTTGTCACAAAAATAATCGCTTGTAGTTGTATAGTAAAACGAAACCTATTTTTAGGTTATAAATACGAAAACATGTGCTTTGACAGCAGGAACAGTACTGACAACTTTAATAATAGCGCTAAATTTAAAAACTTATATGAAATAGATAATAATTAATATTTCTTTTCACTCAGAAATTACTACATATTCATATACAGATGAAAAGAATTTCAAATTCTAAATGAATTCTCATTATTTTATAAAACTGCGCTAACTTTTAGGTTATGAATTTTTTAGTATAAGTAGTAGTAGTAGTTCAACTCTCTGCGCATAACAAGAGTTTTCAAATTATTCCAGCGCTAAATTTATAATTTAAGCAAATTTTTTAAAACAGGTTCCTTTTTGAAGAGACTAATTTGAGAGTTAATTTTGTATAATAAATCATTCTTTTCCAGATTAAAAAAAAAAGAAAACAGGCATATTTATAATAAAAAATGGAATGACAAATCGCCGGAGATAAATTAGCAAAATTATATAAAAAAAAAAACAATCTCAAGGAAAATGAAGAAAAAAAAGAAGGAATCCATTACTTGAAGTGACTTCATAAAAAAATTAACAAAGAAAGTCTTTCACTTATGTGCCAGGTTCTTTCATACATAAGATTGCAGTAGACTGTATGCAGCTTTAAATTATGCGTTATTTGTCAGACGCATGCGGATGGGCAAAGGAAAAAATACACTCTGAAGACATATACATATATATCCCTATTGGTCTTCCACTGCGTCTGTTATTATCGGAATCTTTTCAGGAGCAGAAAAATGCAGCTGTCTCGTCACGAGAAAGAGAGAGAGAGAAAGAGAGACGTTAGAAAACTTTATTTCTTTATAGAATGATATGATAAATAAATCAACAAAAAAAAAAAAACTTTCAGACGAAAAGCGTGTGAAAGTTTAAAGGCTATATCAAGTCCAATTTTATCTCGATATTAATTATCAGTTATCTCGATACTTATCTGTATATTTTCTATTTCTTGTTTCACTTATAGAAAATTATAAATAAGATAAAAAATGCCATTTATAAAAATTCTTCTTTAATACTATTTTTTATTTTTCTTATTCATTTGTTATTGCATACACTGAGAAAAATATGTATCAGGGCTGATAAAAATCATGATTTTTTTTAAAAAAATCAAAAAAATCATATTTTTTTGATTTAAATCAGATAATTTATACATATGTTACGAACATATATTCTTAAGTAATAATAAAAATTATTGTTTAAACAACTTTAGAAAACAAAACAACAGAATACTGATACTTATTAATAACAAGTAGTACTTACTAGTACTTATTAATAATTTTTATTATAGTAATAATAAAAATCTGTTTAAACAACTTTAGAAAACAGAATACTGATACTTATTTTTCTTTGGATAAAAAAAATTAAATCTAGATTTTTAATTTTCTAACGTATTGAATTTTAAACTTTAAATAAAAACACCAATTTTATGCTGCTTTTTCAGTTTCCAATGCATTTCTCAGTTTGGAATGGACTAAACTAAAAGTTGAAAATATACGCTCAATATCAGCTGAACTTGCAGAAACCGATAGCAATTTATATACAATATATTTAAATGCCAAAAAATGAACCGGCTTAAGTACTTGAGCATAACGTTTTTTTGAAAATTTTTGTCCTTTCAGAAGTAAGCATTTCAGTGTTTTTCAGAGTTGTTTCTAATTCTTTTCAAATGAATACTGCATCGGAAATTTTGCAAGTAGTTGACTGAACTTTATCAAGAGCAATAGCAATCGGATTTAAAAGATTTAGTAGATCTGCGGCATTTTGCTTGATTCCCATGTTCATGACAATTTTCTTTATATCATCTCGTCATTTGAATATCTGTCACAAATGTCTGCAATTGTTGACCAATTGTCTAAATAATTTTCTAAACAATCTGTGTACAAATTGTTTAATCTGCAATTATTGATATCTATCTATAGAGAAAATACATTTAGTATAAAAATTTCGATAAAAAGTTCGTAAATCAATGATAAAGTTAGAAGCAACCCTTAAAACTGATAATGCGAATGAGGGTGAAACAAGGACCATTGTTCATGTCATAACGGAGGCACGTGCTGAAGAAATAATAATAATAATAATAAAGACAACGAAAAGCAGTCTCCAGAGTTTGCGCACCTCTGTAGCAACGTTGCCAGATTGTGAATCCCTAAACTGGACCACACTGTTAACGGTTATTCACTTTGACCAGACATTGACAAAAAACTTGTTTCGATACACGATATATTTTTAAACCATATTATCTTCACTGAATATATATATATATATATATATATATATATATATATATATATACATAATACGATACTCTCTTACAGGCTTTTTATTTTTGATAAGGAGGAACTCTAAAAGACCGTTTGACGAAATTTGATCTGTACATTAGTTTCAAAAATAATAGAAAAACTATTCTTACTAATGTCCAAAATAGTTAAATAAAAATAGAAAGCAGAAATTGAAATTAAAAAATTAGAAATTGAGACATAAAATTTTTGAAGAAAGAGACTTAAGAATTCTAAAATGCATTATATTGTGATCTGAATTTATGGAGAACCACTGACAGATTAGGAATCCAGGCAGGTACCGGCCTTTTCTTGTATAACAGGAAGGGTTAGGTGTATTCAAAAGATATTCAACAACTCAACATATGTAATGACACCATACCGACAATAATCATTTTTGTCTTTATCTTCACGCGCACGTACCTTGTAGTCACTATATAAAATGTTATTTTCTTTACAAACAATTTTCCCCTGCGTCTTTTCGAGACAGGAAATGTATTTTCGTATAACAGATTTATAAAAAAAAAAAAAAAAATAATAACTTATTGGCAGTAATTTTTCAAAAACAATTCATTTTTTAAATTTGTTTCAAATACAATCTCGTAACGACAAAAAATGTATAACCTGTGACCGTTTATAATAAAAGAAAACTGATGAATCTGATTTTACACTCGCTCTCTCCCTCTCTTAATTATACTAATTTCACTTCCATTTTTTTGCAATGATGGACAATAGAGAGAGAAAAGGAATGAAGCATTGTTGTGGTTCTAGTCCTTACACAAGAACAATCAAATGATGTAATATTTATAACGCGCATCACATCTAATTTTATGATTATCTAGGTTATTTGTCGTTAATGTTAAGGCTACGCTATATGTTCTTCGCAAAAGGTACTCATTACTATTTATTTTCTCAAGTTTCTTTTCTTTTTTTTTTTTTATTGAATAACCACCTCCCTGAAGTTGGCTTCGATGCTCAGCGATGCTTTTTTTTCTATAACTCTTTTACGATATTTCATTTAATTTTCTTCACTAACTCTAACAATTGTAAATTATTCCCTAGTCAAATAATAATGATATATAGCTTTATACAAAAACTCTTTTTTCCCCACATAAACTTCTTTTTTTTAATTGGAAAAAACTCTTATCTTAATCTTTATCAACAGCTTCTCAAAAATTAAAGACAGATGACTCATAAACGAGGAGTTAATAAAAGACAGAATGGTCAATTTAAAATTTTTTTAAATTCTACAGATTCTTACGAAATTATATCCAAATACTGATACTAGCTCCAAAATCGTTTTATTTATCCTTACGATAGGTAAACTAATTTGTTTGCATATGTCAAAAAATTGTCATTCATTAACTCAGAAAAATATGCCATTGAATCTACAGAATTTCTGACAAAGGAAACAAAATTATATGTACCTGAAGTTCTGAACTAAAGAAAAGAAGTTCTATAGCTATAAAAAACAATATTTTATAACAAACTTTTGATCGTTCAGAATACTTTAGGTACCTAAAATTATTGATTCAAAAAACATATGCTATAAAATTCATAAAATCTATTATAAATTTCGTATTATATGTTTTTTTTTTTGCAAATTGTTGCAATTTTGCTTTTTGTCAGAAATACTGTTGATTCAATATATAGCCTATTTTTCTCATTCTCACAGTGTATATATCCACGTGGAAGCAACAGATTTTTAAAGTCCATCTGTTATACGGATCCCAACAATTTAAATGTCAGTAAAATTCAAAAGAAGGGACACAATTACCTGATGTATTGAATGTATCCATGCCTGGCATCCTCCACGAGGAAACCAGGATTCCGCATGCCGATGATTTCGAAAACCATCAAAATCACTGCTTAAAATTGTGACATTAAAAAAATCAACTTCTTGATACATCCAAAAAATAATGGAATCTTCATTAAATTATTGAAGAAAATAGAGCACATCATCTGCATCTAAAATTCTTCATTATCATTCAATTAATGGAATCACAAAACACATCACTAAAAAAATAAAATAAGCCATCAATCTAATAAACACAACACCAAAAAACCACTTCTTTTATTTCCGATTATTTTCTCAATTTTTTTTTTTTTTTTTAAACAATCATCACAATTTAAGAGCACTTTTTGATTATGATAATTAACTTTTCATCAACATCCTGCAAGGTAAGATCATTTGTTTATTTTTGATATCATCATGCACTGTGAAGGATTAAATGAAGAAATAGTTGAAAATTGGGTAAATAAATTTCTTCTTTGACAGTGTTTTTAAAACTGGAAACGCGAGCACGCAACACGTGCGCACAAGTTGGCGAACGCGAGGCGACTGAAGTAGGGAACAATTCAAAAGGAGAAAGAAGCGAAGAACGAGAGTATACACCTCCCACCAAATGCCGGTTACCTCGACCTAACCTCACCTTTCACGGCGCCGAAACCAGCGGAGAAGCGCGCGCGGTCGATCATGAAAGGCTTGTTGTATGTATATATATATATATACGAAGCCTAAAGCGAGAGAAGAAGATACGAGATGCTAATATGAAACCCCATGGCACCATAACACATTTTCCTGTCTGACATTGTATATATGGTGTGTATAGTCTCACCTGACTTTTGTCTCGTCTTTAATCAACAGGCCAATAACCTTTTCAAATGAAATTATACCACTTTAAGGATGTTGATAATAATAATGATGATGATGATGACAATCCTTTTTGATCTACTTTTCTAATTAAAGAGAAGGTTCACTTTAAATGAGATTTAATTTAGTCTGCTTGAATATAGGACAAATTAGTTAAAACTATATCATTAATCGCAATTATCATTATAGTTATACAGAAAATATAAATATTCAAATGTGACGCTTTTTATTGAATTTGACAAAATTATTATTTACTTGAATCAAAAAATTATAAAAAAAAAAAATATTTTTAAGGCTGCTTCCACAATAGCTAAATTGTATCGTTTTGCAGACGATTTTTTAGGCTGGGACGCCTAAAACACCGTCCGACAAAATTCAACTTTTTTTTCACACACGAAAAAATCAATGATTTTCAGAAACTAGGACCAAAACAAAGATACCCGTGTCTGGCCGTTTTGCTAGATCAGGTCATTTTTTGCTTTTAAGGGTAAAAACAACCCTTTAATGAAAGGTGATAAGAAATCTTGTACAAAAAAATAATTTTTTATGAAACCTGGTATCTTGGGGTTTTCCGGGTCGCTGATTACGAATCTGATGTCAGATTTTCAAAATTCAAAATGGCGGATCCAATATGGCGGTCGAATTTTATAAAAATTCACCAATTCATTTGAAAGTTGTTACCAATTCATTTGAAAGTTGTTACTTAGAGGTTTTTGGGGTCGCTGATAACGAATATGATGTCAGATTTTAATAATTCAAAATGGCGGATCCAATATGGCGGTCGAAATTTATAAATATTAATTATTTTTTATAAAACTTGGTGTCTATGGGTTTTTGGGGTCGCTGAGTACGAATCTGAAGTCAGATTTTTAAAATTCAAAATGGCAGATTCAATATGGCGTTTGAAATTTATAAAAGTTCGTTTAATTCACTTGAAACTTGTTACTTGAAGGTTTTTGGGGTTGCTGATTACGAATTTGATGTCGGCTTTTCAAAATTAAAAATGGCGGATCCAATATGGTGGTAGAAATTTATAAATGTTATTATGTTATTATTATTATTATTATGTTATTATCAGCGACCCCAAAAACCCCTAGACACCAAGTTTTATAAAAAATAATTAATATTTATAAATTTCGACCGCCATATTGGATCCGCCATTTTGAATTATTAAAATCTGACATCATATTCGTTATCAGCGACCCCAAAAACCTTCAAGTAACAAGTTTCAAGTGAATTCAATGAACTTTTATAAATTTCGACCGCTATATTGAATCCGCCATTTTGAATTTTGAAAATCTGACATCATATTCGTAATCAGCGACCCCAAAAACCTCTAAGTAACAACTTTCAAATAAATTGGTGAATTTTTATAAATTTCGACCGCCATATTGGATCCGCCATTTTGAATTTTGAAAATCTGACATCAGATTCGTAATGAGCGACCCGGAAAACCCCGAGATACCAGGTTTCATAAAAATTATATTTTTGTACAAGATTTCCTATCACCTTTCATTTAAGGATTGTTTTTAACAGCAAAAAATGACCTGATCTAGCAAAACAGCCAAACACGGGTATCTTTATTTTGGTCCTAGTTTCTGAAAATCATTGATTTTTTCGTATGTGAAAAATCGTGTCGGACGGTGAAATAGATGCGCGCGCATCTATTGCCAACTGTCAACAAAAAATTGATTTCTCATTGTTCCACTATATTCCTACAATTTCAGTTTGTTAATATTATTAAAATAAGAAAAAATTTGTTTTGGTAAAAAAAAATTTAAATTTTATATCCTCCTATAGATAAAATGTTTTATAATTTCAATAATATTAACAAGTTGAAATTCTAGAAATTGTGGAACACGTGAAATAAATTTTTTACCTCGACAGTTGGCAATAAATGCGCGCGCATCGCGCATTAGCCTAAAAAATCGCCGAATTTTTATTTTACAAAATTTTCATTTCTTCCAATAGATAGCGCAAATTTTTAAAATTAAACAATCAAGAAGTTATATCGAAGAAAATATGATTTGTTAATTTTTAAATTTGCGTCACAAATTCTTAATATATTATGAAATAATAATTAAAAATTTAATTATAAATTTCAATTCGGTTAATGATAGAAAAACAATTTCTGATCTGCTATACAACTGTATAAGACTTCAAGTATATTTGTAAATTATACAAGTACAGGAAATTGTAGTAAATTATCCATTTCCTTTCCTTATATGCGAAAATATACGATTAAGTCAATTTGCCTAATGCGTCTTGATCTAATATACATATATATAAGAAAGTGTCTACAATCCAAAAACATTTCACTCTTCGTGTATATATAATGCCCTAAAATTCATAAAAAGTGTTTGTACATTGTTGAAAGTGTAAATGAGGATTTATCGCCGCAAATGCGAAGAGAAATTATGACAAATCACCGCACACAGCTCGAGCTATATTCTCAAATGTTATTACTGCATGATTGATGTAATTAGAGAGAGAGATGGAATTGTTCCACAAAGTTTGCAATACATTTTTATAAAATTATTATTATTCCATAGAATTTTGATCCTATTCAAGTGTACGCAAATTAAATATTTTACCTAATTTAAAATGGGGCTTTGGTTAAAGTCTCAAATTTCCCAGTTTGCAATAAATGTACTCTTTAAATCTGAATAAGTAAAAATGTTTACTAATTTGAATTAGTGTCTCACTTTTTGCTTCTGAATTACTAAAATTTTACTAATGATTAGTAACTTTTACTAACAATTAGTAGAATTTAACTAATTCTAAAGCAAAATGTGAGTCACTAATTTAAATTAGTAAACATTTTTACTTATTCAGATTTAGAATAACATAAGTTTGTAAAAATGTTTTTGTAAAAAGAGTTATTTATAATAATAATAATAATAATAATACTAATAAATAGTATATTATGTGGCAAGCACGTAAAGTAGTACTTTTTAGGTGAGGATGTAATTTTCAGTACGAGCTGTCGTTAGTGCGACGTAGGTGAGACGAAGGCGAGCTGTAGGTGAGATGAAGACGAGCCGAAGGCGAGTCGAGTCGAGCCGAAAGCGAGCCGAGTCGAACCGAAGTCGCACAGACAGCGAGTATTGAAATCATCCGAACCTAAAAATTACTACGTGCGAGCCACATACGCTATTTTTTTCGCCATTGTTATGAAAAAGTGAAACAATTTTAAAGAAAAAAAATAATAAAAATTGATAAATAAAATAAAAGCAAAAAAAAAAATTATGCAAAAATTAACAACTGCCTAAAAAAGACTTTATAGGGCAGTTTACTGCCTAAAAAAGACTTTATACGGCAGTTTGCTGCCTAAAAAAGTCTTTTTTAGGCAGTTGGCCCAAACTGCCTTAAAAAGTGCTACTTTATCTGCCCAAAACAGGCACAAAAAAGACACTTTTTCATGTCAATGGCGAAAAAAATTATATTCTACGAATTTTTCTCTGCTATTGACTTATTTGTAATTAACAACTATTATTAGATGTAAAAATTTAAAAACAATGTAGTTATTATGTTAATATCACAAACAGAATATAGAGGCTGGCTACATCGAGAGCCAATCAGGAGGGTTAAATTTAATCCTCTGGCGTACTAAACAAGTGGACTAAATTTTGCGTCTGCGCAGAATGTTTGTGTACAGCTGCGACCATGGTTCAAATAGGACAGGTTTTTGAAACGTTCGCTGGCTTTGGCGACCAAGTGGTCACGTTTTCTAACCTGTCACTATCGCAACCGTTGTCGAAGATGTACCAGGGGCGGATCCAGAAGCAAATTTGGGGGGGGGGGGGCGATTCGAAAATTGAAACCTTATAGAAGTGTGGGTATAAAAAAAGAGAAAATTAGTTTAGATAATGTGTTAAACTTTTATAATTTTCAAGAAGCTTTGGGGGGGGGGGCGATCGCCCCTTTCGCCCCACCGTGGATCCGCGCCTGAGATGTACACAAACATTCTGCGCAGACGCTCTCGGTGTAGCCAGCTTCATAGTAAAGTTTTCTCTCTAAATTTGAATTAATGAAAAATGAGCTACTACTTCACATTAGTAAGAATTTTTTTATACTAATTTTTAGTAAAATATTACTATTTTATATAGTAGTTAAAAATTTTTTTTTACTAAAATTTTAGTAAAAAGTGACTAAAAATTAATAAAAATTCTTAATAATTTAAATTAGTAGTATACATTTCACTAATTCAGATTTAAAGAGTTAATATTTAAGAAATTTTTTGGGCAAATACCTTGTAAGTTAACTTGGCTGTGTGATCAGAGTACATGTCTCAGGGTCCAAAGGTCCTGGGTTCGATACCCAATATGGGTCGAGATGTTTTAAAATTATTCTTAAGTGTTTTATATTCTTTATAATTTATATAAAATAAACTTGTGTAAGTTAGAAATAAAAAATTGTAAAATCTTTAATTTAGTTAAAATAAAAATAATTTCACAAAATAGGGGGATTGAAAGGAAAACTGAAAAGGCCCTGATTTCAATTTCTGCACAAATATTATATATATATAGAGGCATGTACAAAGGATGGCCTTGAGCGCACTTTTCAACATATGTATTTTATTTCTCTATATAACTAAATACATACCACAAACTCGGAAATTCGAAACGCTATTTAAAAAATCACCTGCGTTGAGCAATCATATATATATATATATATATATATATATTATTTATGTAA